CAAATCATGTTGGCAGTTAGGGTGGCTCAGCTATCATTACCAACATTTCCCGATATTGATAGCTCCAATATCAGATCAGGTGTGACATCACTTGCCTATGACAACTGTTTGTGAACGACAGTCATCCCTACAACTACGTTCATCTGGTGGCATTATCATTCTGATATTATACCAACATAATATATGAACGTTAAGGAAATTGCATTAATTTTATTGAAAGCTTTCTTTGTAACAGCATAAAAAATTGGACATTCGTAAAAATGTAGCATTCATGGGGGGGGGGGCTACACAATACGCATTCCAAGTACATTCTCAAATACATGTACATTTATTGGTTCAATTTAAAAACATAAAGTCCTATTAGCTTCACATACCCTCTTCCTGGGACAATAATCTAATTCCAAATATACCTCTTTTGAATCTCATTTATAATTTGTCTATACTATGTCGGAGACTTTTGATTGACAAAAAGTAAATTTTTTTATGTTTATGATCCATACTGGTTCTGTTCAAATATTCGTGATTTATAGTTTGTTTACTTTTTCCCTGAGTTAATTTCTGCCTGTGTGTAACTGTTTTTACATTAGATTTCGAGGCACACATTCTTATGTATTCTTGCCCCGTTTCAAAGCAGCTACAACTATTTTAGGGCTACAACTGGGCAGAACAACTGTTTTAGAATATAAATTGTTTTCCAGCAGTGCAGTAACGATAGTTGTTCATGGGATAAATATAAATAATTTCTGTACTAGGAATTTTTAGAAGTCTTTTCTTTATCACAGAACTGAATAGGCCTAGTAGTTATTGATAACTATTCACTTAGTTTCGTTGAGTTGACCAAACATTATTTCACTTGTGATGGTACTCCTAAAAACGTCATGAGTTTTTTTGCCCTCTCGTGCTAAAACTAGGCCTACGTCATACCAACAGCTCTATATGGTACTCTAATATAATATGGTGACTCTAATATAAGGTAGTTTTCTTTTTTAATGTAAAAAGTAAGAACTAAAACATTTCCGTTCAACAACTGTTTTTTTTTTTTCATTTCGCAGTAGATTTAAAACAGTAACGAGCATCAGAGATAAGCGAGAAATCCCGTTTGAACTGCAATGGTTGTGCAAACAGTCGAAGTCCACAGCCGTCTCTCTAGAGAGAAGACTGCTAGATAACCTCCATTGCCACTTCCTCGTCCGTATCGCTCTCTGCCTCTGCCGCGAAACAACACCAATAACACGTAGCTTGAAGTGCCACCAGGTTTGACAAGTGAAAACATGCATCCGTGGGAATAATAGTCACTGTTTGATACTTGAGTATGCCGATTGGCTAGGACAAGAAAGCATGATGAGATCAAGCCGTGTGATTTCTAAGTTTTTGTAAGACGAACTATTTTCCATTTCTCTTTTGGCTGCTAAAAATCAAGGAAAGTAAATAGAACAAACGTCTAAAAACACTCAAAACATATAACACGTACAATGCTAATCAATAAGTTATTTAAGAACCAAGCAAAAAACAGAAAAATGTCCATCTGCCTCATTGTATCTTAGGAGTACATCTGTGACTAGGAACATGGGTACTTTAAATTCAGATTTTTTCTTTAATTTTATCCGTAACGATTAACCGTACGTACAAAAACACTTCATACTATAAAAATATTTGATTTTCCAGCTCTACAAAGTGGTTTAGAAACATTCGGAAATTCAATTTTTTATGACCAAAAATCAGAAAAACAATTTTTACCCCCATACATCCCCCCAAAAAGGAATGGGTATTCCCATAGACCGATCATGCCGGTTCACGAACTCGTTCGAATAAACGTGGGTTTACACGTTTGTACCAAATTTCATCGAGATCGGATTATCTTTACTCGAGTTATCGAAATTTAACTCATACTAGCAGTCCAAAAATGTTACTATACAGTGTTCTTATAATGAAACCATTGTTTATTGCTGTATTGTAGTATTCATAATGTAAGTGAACAAGCTTTCTCTTTAGGAGAGGGATGTTATAATAGTAAATATCCAAACTTCTAAATATGCTTCAGTTAGAGTTGCTGAGAACTGCTATAAAACACGTTATTGACTCGGGATTACATAAATAAACATTTCGTGCTCCAATATCGTGGAAAACAGAGTGTTTCTAAAGAGTTGTTTCATTAAATCTTTACTTTTTAAAAACACGTCATGTAATTAAAATACTAAAATGTATAGACAGTATTTTCTACAATTTCCTTAGTCTGTTGTTTTACTGATCATTTAGAATTTCTTAAGAATTTATCTTATGAACACAATTATTGTATGACAAATAAATTGATAAAATTATTAAATCTGTATCAATTACTTTTAATTTTGTTCTCATTTTTCAAAACGTATATGCTTTGTTTTATTTACTGTAATGAATGCGTAGTCATTTGATTGATTTTATGTTGTAATATGATGATGATTGATGATTTTCTGTTGTAGTCGACACACGTCTTCTCCTTAGTTGGGCACCTACCAAACATAATAGTCCAATTGGCCAATGTCAATCATTTAAGATATTTATTTTTCCAGAAAGGAGTAAAATTCTTAAATATATCTACCCTTAAATTTTATAAATTTAAAATGTTTCTAATAGTTCATATTGAAGCAAAATTATAATTTAATTTAGGAATGTTTATCTGAGAAGCACTTTATTCGATTTGATAATCTATCAAGCTTCAAGCTATTATTAATCAATTCGACCCTGTTCCAAGAGGATAACTAAAGTATGTCAAGAACTAGACATTTCTCCCTGTTCTCAATCGTCCCTGATCTACATCTTCGTGATTATCTGACAACCATCCGTGTAAATTTTCTTCTAAGCGTTGTCAATAAATGTTTTAACACGAAAGACATACTATCCTTTATACTTTACTATCCTTTGTACTTTTAGTATGTTTAAAGATATGTGATTTTAGTGATTTAGAGATGGTCACTGCCAGATATACAGGGTGATTCTCAAAATGAGACCACCTCATCTAGTGTGTTGGCCTAAACCAAACATACTTATTTATAAATTATAATCATAGCTTACTAAAACAAAAGACATGCCTTACGTAACAGTTATTCAAATGTTTTAAGGTGATACGGGCATATGGTTTAACCAAACTAAAGTTAGTGGGTGTGTATTGTAAAAACATTTTGTTTTAAACTATAGATAAACCAATTATATTTCAGAAAAAATATTTCACAAAAAAAACTTCCCATCAAAAAGGCTTTAAAACTACTTACAGCGCAATCATATTGTCGTACTAACAGTTGACTATGAAATATTCTATTACTATTACAGTTAATTTGTCTGTAGTCCAATTATAATTAAATTCTTTTACACCCTTTTTTCACCGTCCTATAAAAAAATTCTTCCAGTTCTTCATCTCCCCCCCCCAGCCTTTGATTTTTCTAGAGGACACTAAAAACATCTAGTGCTGCTGGCCGACTTGTTTTGTAACGGTTTTAATAGTGGACAATTTATTTTTCAATCACCTACCACTTGTAAACTAGAGACAAAGCTTATGAAAATTAATTTAAATAAGCTACTTTTAATGATATAACTTTAGCCTGATTGAGGTAGGTTAACAACTATTAATTGTATTGATATAAATAGACATATTATAAATATTGTAAAATAAATGTGTTATCAATCTAATAATTAGATGAAACAAACGTTAATTTATTATTTTTAAATTCGTATGATCATAGTTTTTCTTCTATGTAAAATTCCTCAGCTACGAATTAATCTTCAAAATGTATTGCTTTACCTCTTCGTTATCCCTCGGAGACTATATTTTGAACCCCTTACGATGTTTAATTTGCGTGCGGGCCGCATTGTTTCATTAAATATGTATATTGTATCCTAATTAATATTTTAAATGAGAAAGTTTGGATGTATGGATGGATGGATGTATGTTTGTGACAAGTAAACGCGAAAAATACTGGTCGGATTGGGCTGAAATTTGGTATGATGATAGCTCACATTCCCGATTAACATATAGACGCATTCTTATCTTAAAAGTCCTTTCGGGCTCCGCCCCAGTGGCTCTGGAGTTTCCCATGTTAACCTTATGAGTAATCGTATTTAAAAGGAATAAAAGAATTTTGTCAGCTGTTTAAACTACACAAGTTGGTTCTATGATATTGAATAGCATTAAAAAGTTATAAGGTTTACCAACAGGGTGCAGTACTATTATTTTTCTACATTTATGACAACAGCTAAAAAGGCCATAAAGGTAAAATTTGTTTTTTAAAGGCTTATGTGTAACTCTTTTATCGACAGATGTAAAGATCAAAATGTTTCTATTTCGTGTTCTCTTCCCGTTGCAAAGCACGGGTACAACAGCTAGTAGAAAATAGTTAAATGGCCAGCAACGTCATCAATACAGAGCGAGGTGCCTTTCTCAACACAGTGGCGGCCGTGGCTGTTATCTCGGCAGCGGGTCCACTCAGACTGGCGATAAGGAGGACCACGTGGTCTCATCATGTCACTACCAACACATCGTGACCTTGATAACATATCGTTCATTTCCTACATTGGCTGTGCTTATGTTATAAATAAATCTACTCACCACGTAGTGGAAACACGTTAATTTCACTCGATGGGTCTTTCTATTTGAAATTTTTGAGTTTCCCCCAAAATCCCCCATTTTGGGGATGTATACCAAGTGGCGGTTATGCCCAAAAAGTACTTCATAACATGCCATAAAGATGTGCCGAGTTTAGTTTTTTCTAGTATGGGCCGTTAAACAAAATACAGGGGGTCTCCACACTTTTTACTAACCCTGCATATTAAGCTAAAAAAGTGGCAAGGGAATCCAGGAACCTTCCGCTTAAACCACCTTAACTTTTGTAAACATACTACAGTAGGCCTAATGTAGATCAAGGAGATTTGTGAAGAAAAATAAATTATGTATAATTTTCCTAGTATACCAATACAATCTTGTGTGTACCGTGCAACTGTTGCATTATATTGTCTGTTTGTATACACAGAAGTGCCTGGAGATGCTGGCGGGGTGTAGATGCACCGGACGACTGGTGGTAGCAGCCCCTCTGGGACTGTCCACAGCCAGGACCTCGAGTCTCCGGATGTTACTGTCTCGGGGTCAGCCCACCACGGCCCGGACTCGCTACTTGTCCATCGCTGGTCGCAAGGCCTTCTCTCAGACACAGAACGTGAGTAGTGACTCATCTGTACAGTTGATTGTATATACAAATACATGCATCTTAAGAATCGACTTTATTTTCCATATATAAAATCAAAAGTATGTTTTTCATGCATTACCACATGTTCCATTCAATAACCACTGCGCATCCATGGGAAATCAATTATATCATGCATACCGCATATAGGTACTTTTTTCTGTCTTCTTCATACTTGCATTCCTTCTTATAAAATCCTGTATGCACAGACAATGTTGCTCAATTGTATGTGCTTTAGGGCCTTTTGGGCTCTCAATCAAAGTTATTGAGCTAAACACATAATAGTATATTTCATCACTAGGGCGTAAAGTGACTCTTTTTCACCCGACCTTAAGTTTTACGATCGAGGTGAAGCTGAGTCGGAAAATGAGCGACGGTTGAAAGGACACGTTTTGCCAGTAGATAACCTCTCAAAACGACTTCCAGCTTGTTTAAAATGTTTCTAATTAAACACGCATATGTTTTAGTAAGTGATTCGAACATTTCGTCTATTACGATTGTGTACTGTATATCGATACCTATGTTGAACTTGTTAACAAGAATGCAAAAATAAGCTACAATCTACAATCGATAAATAATTTAGATGCATGCGATTTCTTAGCCCTACAATCGAAGTTTACAACTGTTTATAACAGCTGACTTTTACTCTCTAGGGACTAAAATTGGGTAAAAGAGCTACTTTAGAGCTATTTTTGCTACCCATGTATGCAAAAATGGCTGTTTTTGCTGCAGTAAGACGAAACATTATGAAGTTCACTTTGCTAAAGAACTGCTTTGCTATTATTTATTGTACAGTAATATGCTTTTTCTTTTACACTGACACACAGCTGGTTAAGACAGATTTAATTAAATTGAATACCTATTCTGCTTACCCAAATAATATTTTTATTTATTTTATAATTACATCATTTATTAGCCTATATCAAATATGTCAAATTCTATAACCAAAGATAATATATACTACCTTTGTTTTGCCCAAATTAAATTTAAATGTTATATTATAAATTTTATATTTGTTGTTGTTTATATTTTATATTGTTATTTGTTCTGCATATCAGTTTTATATATAGTGGGGAGGCAAATTTAGTAAAATATGTAAAATAACAAAGTTGGCTCACCCCGAAAGGTAACCGGTGAACACTATGCTAGATGATATTGTATAGTAGTAGAGATGATATTTTGACCGGTGTTCACTCTGTATGAGTGGGACTCTCTTTTCTGGACGCCATTTTCCAAAATGGCGGATGTCACTGTTTGATCTTTGTATAACTCGAGCAAAAATGAACCGATTTTGGTGAAATTTGGTATAAACGTTTAAACTTACATTCATTCGAACGGGTTCACGAACCAGCATGATCTGATCATGGGAGCGGGGGTTTATGGGGGTTTTATGGGGTAAAGATGGGATTTTCTTATTCTTTGCCCCAAAGTACAAAATTTTCCTATTTTTCTCTAAACCATTTTAAAGAACTTAAAAAAAACAAATAATTTAGTATATTAATGTATTTTTGTACCCTTATTGGTTACGGAGAAAATTCAAAAAAGTGTTAATTTAAAATTCCCATGTTATTCTTATGGAGGATATCGTCAACTCTTGTAGTTTGCTTGTTTATGGATATATTTTGATCATACTTGGTAAAATTATTTATTTATACTAAGATATTAATATTCTACTAACATTCACGCTTTATTAGCCTCCCTGTAACAGCAAACCTAGGTACTCGTTAAACCTAATGTTATTTAAATTGAATTAATTTAAAAACGAATCAGGCAATTGGAAATCCACTTAGTCTGCAGGTTCGCTGTGACGGGGGTATTTTATTCTTGACTTTTCTTCCTATACCTAGTGGTTTAGGAGATATAAGCAGTTATAGTTGGGGTTTCCTCCATGTTAATTAGATTGATCCGTTTTAACTGTCAACCTAATCCTAATGTATTTCCTGTGCTATTTCGTTACACTTTTGACTTGACATATAATAACAAATCTAGATTATCAGGTACATCTCAGATTCGCCCGATGCGTTAAAATACTTGGTATGCGGCCTCATGTCTGCCAATTGAGCGGAGTGAGCATTGATATAAACAAATAACCTTATTTACAAATACATTTTTTTATAAAAAAATATTATAGATTACAAAATAAAAACATGAGTAAATGTTATTGATCAATAAACCTCATGAATTTAACCCATCGTTATAAGCAATTGCCATCTCTTTTTTCTTTACTTACCATTTGCTTCTCTTATTTATGCTTTTCACTCTGTCTATAGAAAATGGCTCAACATACAAGCCCTAAATTGTTCTTAATCTTGACAATTCTATGTAATAGCCTTGACAAGTCTACCTCAGCCTGATTTACAGTACATTCTTGACTGCAATGTACCGAAATCGATAGATAAGATTCATTGGATATTATGCCTTTGAGAACGTTTTACACCATACTGGTGGATAGGCAACAAACAACCCGTTGTACAATGTTGGTCCAATTTATTTTTCAAAAAATAAATGTGTGGGTAAAATTGTACTAAAACGCATATTTGGAAATCTTTTAGTTAATTTTCTGTTTCGGTAAATTTGTACATGAAGCTACCGTACTTATGATAACATTACATATGCCTGTAGTACTCCAAAGATTACTCTGAAGTATTACACGACAACCTTTTTAAATGAAGATGTGTTTGTTAAGGGCTTGGCATATAAATTACAACATGAATAAATCATATACATTAATAATAAACTACAAGAAAATTATTAAAACCGATATAAAATTAGTTTCTGTATTAGGCTACACCATTTAATTTGAGCCGTAGAGACTGCACTGTGTTAGTGTAAAACCTATAGAATTGGATTGTAGTAAATTAACCTGACATAAAAATGTCAACATGCGGCTCTGTTGGCTGTAACAATTCTTCTAATTACGTGAAAGTAGAAGGAATATCATATCAGAGGGGTATAAGCTTAGTTATTACCATCGATGGATAAAACTATAACATTAGTTAGTTTTATATGTCGATGGTTATGACTGGACTTCAGTACGAATGCGATTCGTTTTTAAATTAATTCAATTTAAATAACGTTAGGTTTAACGAGTACCTAGGTTTGCTGTTACAGGGAGGCTAATAAAGCGTGAATGTTAGTAGAATATTAATATCTTAGTATAAATAAATAAGTTTACCAAGTATGATCAAAATATATCCATAAACAAGCAAACTACAAGAGTTGACGATATCCTCCATAAGAATAACATGGGAATTTTAAATTAACACTTTTTTGAATTTTCTCCGTAACCAATAAGGGTACAAAAATACATTAATATACTAAATTATTTGTTTTTTTAAGTTCTTTAAAATGGTTTAGAGAAAAATAGGAAAATTTTGTACTTTGGGGCGAAGAATAAGAAAATCCCATCTTTACCCCATAAACCGTCCCATAAAACCTCCATAAACCCCCGCTCCCGTGATCAGATCATGCTGGTTCGTGAACCCGTTCGAATGAATGTAAGTTTAAACGTTTATACCAAATTTCATCAAAATCGGTTCATTTTTGCTCGAGTTATACAAAGATCAAACAGTGACATCCGCCATTTTGGAAAATGGCGTCCAGAAAAGAGAGTCCCACTCATACAGAGTGAACACCGGTCAAAATATCATCTCTACTACTATACAATATCATCTAGCATAGTGTTCACCGGTTACCTTTCGGGGTGAGCCAACTTTGGAATTTTGGCCATTCGCCTCCCCACTAATAGTAAAATCTTCTATTATTTTCATAAACTAGTTATTTATGACATAAAACTTAAATTTATGTACAAATGTGTATAACTTATACGATATTCTATAAAGTTTGTTGTGTAAACGGCAAAAGGAGTTTAGATTATTCCATGAATCTTAAGTAAATATTGCAAAACGCCATACATAAATAATGAACACGGCAACCACCAAAGAGTATTATGACCCTGGAACTGAATTAAACACAAACACAAAGGACCAGTAGTATGTAGTGGTGTCACTGAACATGAAATAATGCAGTGCATTGTTAGCATCCTCTTTGTAGCTCCAAACTGAATTTTTGAAACACTTAATATTTAAATCAAATATAGTCATTGTACCGGTACCAATTATTGTATTGATATAAATTAGAATCATGATGTATATACAAATATTCTTCATAAATTTCAATTAACTATTTTCCACAGCATTTTTTTTTTTTTTTACTTTAATACATGTACTTTCTTTGACATGTGTAATTCAATAACTTGTTGACCTTTGACAAAATATTGTTATCTGTTTGTGTATGCTAAAAACATGAGTATCTGGCTGCTTTAGATTATTCCACTCAAATATCTCAATATGTTTACAACAACACCTCTTGTTAAAAGATACCCAATAAAAATCTTTGGATCGCCATCGGTTTTAACCAGGACGTGAATGAGCCATGCGAATACTTATGAAGTTAAACGGGGCAAAGCCCGCGGGTACAGCTAGTAAGCAATAAACAAAAAATCATTATTTTCATATAACCTATCTACTGTACTATAGTAATACAATTCAATAACCTGCATCTATACTTTTAGGCTTTTAATACATTAATTTGTATATTAAGTAAATTTCAAAATTTGATTAAAAGCTAAAAAAAAAAAATGTTCATATAGTTTATTATGAACAGTTATGTTCTTTGGATTATGATTGGCAGGCTAGATTTTTTTTAACTGCTTGTTTTAATCTATTTATTATTGTTTTAAGTTTGTTGAATGTATCAAAGTACAGTTTGCTAGTGATTAGCAAGCTGACTCTCAGTACAACAAGTGATATGTCCTCAGGCTGGTCAGATGGACCTAAAGAGAGCGCTGCAGACCGCTGAGGGTCGCAAGGGGACGTTCACAGACAGGTCACAGTTCAAGTACGCTCGCAGACTCGTGGTCAAGCTGGGCAGTGCTGTCATCACCAGGGAGGACGAACACGGCCTGGCGCTGGGGCGACTGGCCTCCATTGTAGAACAGGTCAGCACCTCTAAGTGAGGCTAGGGCGCTAGAAACAGTGCTAATCTTGATGTTCCTAGGTGCAAACTAGCATTGTCTTTAAAAAGATCTCCACTAACTGGTTTGAATATGTTTAACAATCTATCAGCAATCCGTACGACCCTTCCAGAATTACTTTCCCAGCAGAAAATTAATAACTTGTTCTACAACCTTTTCTCAGTGAAGAAGTTCTATAAAACTGTAAAAGACGTCCATTAACATTGTTCCACTTTTCTATTGCCTGTTGAGTTTATTGGCTAAATAAATCATTTGATTTTGCTATTCACTTTTTAAATACATTCTGATACTAGATAGTAAGTAACATATTCTCCATCAGTTATCTAAGAGTGTCATTGATGCAGTACGTGATGGCTGATTAACATAACCATCTCATTATAGATTTTTATTACTAGTTTTTTGTTTTTTCTTTGGCGTTATACGTCAATGATGATTGATGTTTGAACTTGTATCTGTTGAAATTATGAAAAATGTTTCAATTTTAATAATATTTAAAACTTTAATATTACTTTTATATTAGTAATTAATATAATAGCAATAAATTTTGTAAAAGAAAGTTAAATAAGAATTTTCAAACATTTGAAAAATGTTTAATTTAGTGTATCTTTATTAAGTTGGGGATCGTAGTATGAAGGGGGAGTTTCAACCCTTTTGGTTGTGTGTGGCAGGTGGCGGAGTGTCACGTGGAGGGTCGAGAATGTATCATGGTCACCTCAGGAGCCGTGGCGTTCGGCAAACAGAAGCTTACCCAGGAGCTGCTCATGTCCCTCAGTATGAGAGAAACCTTGTCTCCCACCGACCACACCAGACAGGTAAACTCACAATAACAGCACAGTGTAAGTCCTAAGATCACCTCAGGAGCCGTGGCGTTCGGCAAACAGCAGCTTACCCAGGAGCTGCTCATGTCCCTCAGTATGAGAGAAACCTTGTCTCCCATCGACCACACCAGACAGGTAAACTCCTAGTAACAGTACAGTAAGTCCTAGGATCAAATCAGGATGCCAGTGTATTTTAAACATCTAATATCTTATTGTAAAATGTTTGTTCTTTTATTTTAACTAAGTTATCTTTGGTCTAATAGGCCTAAGTTATATTTTATTTGTATTTAACCCTGAGAGTCTTTAATAGATGTTTATATGATAAATATAATTTTTTCAACATTTTACAACATCAAGAACAGATATACCTCTATGTTGTTCATTGTACGTTTTAAACAGTAAGTATGTAATTTTTAAGATTATATGCCTTATTTTTACTTAATTATTGTGTTTTAGTAGCGGGTAGCCAGGCATAATCAATGATATTTTATTTTTAAAAACCTAGTTCCTTTGTTCAACAGTTGAAACAAAAACTTAAAGATTCTGTTCTTAATTTGGGAATGTTATTGTTTTCTAAAATAAATTACATAGTAGTCCTACGTTATATGCAGTATATTTATTTAATGAAGTACTCATATTCTGAAAAATGTTTCAAGAAGTTTACAGCATAGTTGAACATAAAATAAAGCAAAACCTGATTAATATACATCTGATATGTTCCAACTCAAAAAGATATTTTATTTTTTCATTGCTATCCCGATTAAACCATTTTGTATTCCCCATAAGTTCAAAACAGTAATACGAGTATATAGTTGAATAAAAAAACAGACTTATAAGACATCAAAGCCATCTCTCCAATTGCATGCTATCCTGGTTTAAACAACAGTTTAGAGCCACAAGAGACAAGAACAATAGCCAACCTCCAGAAGATAACAATTCAGAACTTTAACTGAACTCCACAAAAGTACAGTACTTGTTCAAACCACAGCAATGTCTGTCTTGAGTTTCACTTGAATATAGAGCAAGAACCTTCAATTAAATTAATAGAGATTTTCATGGGTGGAATTTTGTCCAGTACCTTGTTAATTTTCCAGATCACAATTTTTACTTTTAATTATGGTAGGTACTTACTCAAACAATTTTTATCTGCTTTTAAATAAACTACTTAGGCTTTAATGGTCTTTAAAATAATTAAAGTTTAAGGTAAATTTGATCATCTATTAATTACATTACCACCGCTGCAGCAAACCTGCAGACTAATTGAATTTACGCATTTGCCAGATATGATTTTTACTACAGTGTATTTCTTTGCATGTGTACAGGTTTCCTGCATCAGGGGAGGTAAAAGTTGCATTTTTGTTAAATTTCAATACTGTAGTTTATTGAAACTTTTGTGATTCTTTCCATAAAAACCTATTTTATTTAATTAACGGAAAATCAAATAAAACCAACTTGACCAATATTTTATGTAAATTGTGTGTATTTTATAGTCCTTTCAACCTTAATCCCTAAATAAAGTGGTGCAACCCCTAGCTTTGTAAAAATTACTGTTTAAAAGTTATTGCAACTTTTAAGATTTTTCTAATAAATAATCAAAGTTACTCTCACTGCTTACCTATGTGCCATGAAGGGTTGTTGACAAGCTAACGGGAGAAAGTATGTGTCAGAGATTGCTGAACTGAAACCATTAATCTGTATTTTCCTTCATAACATGTGTAACTGTACAACAACACTTTAAAATTTACTAATTAGTTAGTTTTTCTAAGCTCTATAATGATAATTGTAATGATAATAAAAATTTTGCATTTTCCATGTGTAAGGATAAATATTTGAATAAAACCATTTTTTTTTATTTCAAAACTTCAACACCTGTATCTGTTTATTCCTCATTCAAGTTTATCTAGCTTTGCACATTCATGTCAAATTTCATCAAAATTGAACCAAAATTACTCGAGTTATCGTGTTTGTGGAAACACACACACATATATTTATACATGTATGAACATTTGAACAAATAGTGTTTTAGCCTCTGGGGACATCAGAATAAAAAAAATGTTGTTCAGTGCCGAGGATTTTGCCAAATGTACCCCTGGATTGACCAGGATGTATTATTCAAGGACAAGGGTGAGACAAAAATAACTACAAATTAAACGTTTAGCTATTTGTTTTCCTAGGATAATCTATGCTGTTTTTTTCTTAGAAATCAACAGAGGAGTCGGTCTATTATACTCATAGAATATTTATCTTCACATGTATAGGCAATCGAGCCCAATAGTGATGATGGATATGGGATTAGTTTCAAACATGTAAAAGTTTCAAACTTATAACATTGATGCAATGAGCTGTTGATTAGTTTAGTATAATATTGTACCAACCACCAATTGTATTGTTGTACAGGAGGCCAACACCATGGTAGAGCCTAGAGCTGCAGCTGCTGTGGGCCAGTCAGGACTCATGTCACTGTATGATGCTATGTTCGCACAGTATGGTGTAAAGATAGCTCAGGTAAATCTCATATAGGCTATATACATTTAAACAAAAAGTGTTTTTCAAAAGTGGTGTTTTTTTCAAATTGTGTTTTTTTTCCTTTCAGGACATTAATTATTTAATCATCAATCAATTGTGCTGAGGATGCCACCTAGTTGCGTATTTTAATCCAATGAGTGAAGGATGAGTCTAGAATGAAGTGTGATGATCTGTGTAGCTTTGTTACTGACTAAGTTCAGCTGTTTCATTAGCCAAGACCTTTATTTAAATCCCGATTACCAGAAACAGCTGGACCTATTTTCGAATCCAGTGACAACCTTTTGATTGTTTTTTATTGTTAGGTGAGCACTATAATAACCACTCATCTACCCAGCCAGTTTTAAAGTGACAAAGTGAATCGGTCCCTGGTCTAGGTCTTATCATCACCTACGATGGCTTCTTCCCTTTTCCTTATAGAAGAAATTCACTCAGATCACATTCTATTATTTTTTGTTGTCAAAATAAATAACAGAGTGAATTTCACACTCAAGTCAAATGTATTATTTTTCAATGAACAATTAATTTTACACTTCACTTTTTATTTTAAACCAAGAGGTCCAATATCCCTTGTATTTTAACTTGACATACAAGTGACTTTATTTGTCCCACATTGATGTAAACAGCATGTGCTGGTGGTACCTTTATGATCAGTGACTGTGACTGTGTACTCTGTTGGTCAGGTGTTAGTGACTAAACCTGACTTCTACAACGAGGAGACTCGCAAGAACTTGTTCAGTACTCTCTCTGAGCTGATCAGTCTCAACATTGTTCCTATCATCAACACCAACGACGCCGTCTCACCCCCACCAGCGGCTGAGGAGGACATACAGAAAACTGGCAAAAAGGTAATACACAATAGAGAGTATAGTCCATAGTAAAGCCAGAAGTATTTAAAATAGCATTTTCAATATTTTATACTTGACATAAAATCAATTTATATACACGTTTTCAAGGATGGATATTTTTTTAGTAAGAACATTTAATGTTTGACAAAAGAAAATCAAATGAAATGTCAACTCCTCAACAAATAATATTATAAATGGATGGATAATCTATTTACTAAAATCAACCATAGAGTTAATTAGAAGCTGAGTTGTACTTAACACGGCAACTTTATGACTGTAAATTACTGGCTAGAGTAGCCTATGGATGGGGCCGAGCCGAAAGTTGGACAACGACAGGGACAGACAACGATAAACTAAGACAGATTAAGTTTCCAGGTTTGTCATTTGCGTGCAACGTTAAACTGGGACACACTTTCAATGTGTCTGGTTTTTGTCGTGTCGTGCAACGACGAATCTGGACATTTATCTTAAGTCTCTTGTTTTGGGACCTAACTGTACATTTTTACCTGTCAAAGTCAATTGTTTGGGATTTGGTAGTTCAAAATGTTTAGATACACGAGTTTGAGTATTTACTGTAACGTAACACGCAACCAGATGAGACATAAAAAAACATAAATGACACTATATATTTGAAAATGTTATTTGATTAAAATTTAGGCGGTATTTCACCACTAACCACACATTGTGGCGCTTTTCATTAGACATCTTTTCAAAGGCATCTTTTTGCTTAATTTAGTTAGTTTATCCATGTTAGAGATCAACAAGCAATACACTTGATCTTAAAAAATCCCCAGACAAAAAAAAACACTCCACAGATTTCGTCTTTATAAACCATTCAATATACATTATGTGCTTTCAACTGCATCTCCATATTGCAATTTTAAGTTTTGAAAATTCAAAGGTGCCAACAACCACTATGGAACAGCTAATTACTATTGATGAAGGGCACTAATAAATACTTAAAATTATCCTTAATTGACTTTTCTACGACCCTTTAGCAACACTTATATTAAGCTATAGATTTGATCCATTCTTTTTGGGACACGATGTATAGCCCCATAGGCCTGTAATTTTGACTAATGTCGAGCAAAACTTTACACTGACCAAATAAACATGCAATTAAATTCTTGAATTTATAATCTTCAATGTGTTTTGCTGAGCTATGTCACTACAACACAGTATAATAGTCGATTTCAAATAAGCCTTGTAACAATAAAGCGTATTGACGAAATTTCTGTAATACGATGCTCATTCAGAGTTTACAAAGACGATCGAGCGAGACTGAGAATTTGATTTAGCCTGGTGTACAGTCTCTTAAATTAAGAGTGTCCGGGTATGTTGTTTGCGTGCAGCGTTAAATTGTGAAACTTCTTCAATGTGTCCGGTTTAATTGTGTCGTGCAACGCTTTCACCGGACAACTTAATAATGTGTCCGGATTCGTCGTTTGCGTGCAACATTAAACTCTGACACTTTTTTCAATGTGTCCGGTTTTGTCGTTGTCTGTTTTCATCTTTGTCAGACTTAAGCAGTGTCTGTTTTTAACGTTGTCCAACTTCCTCATCGCCCCTAGCCTACCTAGTATATCTTTCATATCAAAAGTAGAAAGTGAGTCATTACCTACATATTATTTGAGACCATATGTTTGAAGTTGCAAGGTTTGAGCACTTTAAATGTGTGGTCAAGAATAGGTAAAAACCTTTGACTATTAATACAACTTAGTATAGGCCTACTCAGTATCCAATAGTAAATGGTAAAAGACCCACTTTCACTTGTCTTTTGAACATTATTTTTGGCTACACTACTTATTATTTGTTTGATTAACAACGCAATGGATTAACAATTGACTTTGGAATATTTCTTTTACTGTTAGGAACATTTGAAAACTAATTGCATTTTTTAAGTATGCCTTCCATTTAAAGTTCAAATTTACAATGATTGTACTCAGTTTTGGCTGTTGCAAACTGAAACAGTTGATAAAACCACAACAAATGTTTATGTTTGATTATGTCCATAAAAGATAATAAACATTACTTTTGCATAGCAGTAAACATTCTTTTTGTCGTAAACAAATGTAATAATGAATTTTCGCGGATGATGCGATAAAGACATAACAAAAAAACATACTTTTTTGTTATTTCAGTCCTTTCAGTCTGTAGGTGGATCACATCAACTAAGACGATTTTGATAAAAAAAAATCTAGCTACAAATTTAACATTTGGATGGAATGTCTAGTTGTATTAATAGTCAAAGAGTCTAACAAAAAGATCTTTTCACTGATCTGTGGAAAAATACAACTCACCATCTCTATACCTTATAGCTTTTAGAAGTTAGGTACGGTACTGTCTAATTTGACAACATCAACATGCAATATTATTTCAATTTATTTAACTGAAAGAACACAAAAAAAAGCCCTTGTTTGAAATGAAGTTTATAAGTAAAAGCTATGTTTAGGCGATGCAAGTCAGGAATTGAGGGTGGAATTTTACTGGTCACCTGCTCAACAAGATTTGTTTATAAATTGAGATGGGCAGATTACCTGCCTCCTTCGTTTACATTGAAAGTTACCTATTAGGCAGATAAGCCACCTGCCTACTGGCTGAAGTGTGTAAACGGGGCATGAAGGATCAAAGGATCACTTTAGATAATGTTACATCAATCAACTACTGTACTCTGATATGGACCATAAAATCTAAATAAGATACCGTACTATGATCAGTTGAGAAAAGTTTACCTTTGACTACTAGTTTTTAAATCGAAATCATCGTAGTTGACGTGAGCCACCGACAGATTATTGCAATCTGTAATAATTGGCTCAAACATGTTCTTTTTTAATAAAAGATTGGCAACAGCTCGTCCACATAGATGAGATGTCTACTTGACTTCAGTATCCAATAGTCAATGATTATACTAATCAGAGTGTCTGTAACAGATCATCAGTATCAAGGACAATGACAGTTTGGCAGCCATGTTGGCAGCTGAGGTACAGGCTGACTTGTTGATCCTCATGTCAGATGTAGACGGTATCTACACAGCACCTCCATGGGTCGAGGGAGCTCGTCTCATTCACACCTACACCTCCGAGATGCACGACATCATCCGCTTTGGCAAGAAGTCAAAGGTCGGCACTGGAGGAATGGATTCAAAGGTAAAAGCAATGACTTGTTTTATAAGTAGTTTTGGTTGTTAGTCTTCTGGAATAATGTCAATACTATTGACACAATATAAGTTTGATTTCCCAAATCTCAATTTTTAAGAAAAATCTGTAGATCTACGGTACGGTACTTGTTTTGTTTAGTGTCTACATAAAAATAAGCCATACTATTTTTGGTAACAGGTAAAAGCAGCAACTTGGGCTCTTGAGAGGGGGGTCAGTGTTGTAATCTGCAATGGTCACCAGGAGAAGGCCATCAAGACCATCATCAGTGGCCGCAAGTTGGGAACATTCTTCACTGACGCTCCCGCCACAGGCGTAGCCTCCACTGATGTACTGGCTGAAAATGGTACGTTTTTGATAATAAGATATGTTTATCATTAATTTACTATCCTTGTTCAAATATCAGGTAATATTTGACTACAATAGGTATATATTTCTATATCTATATCTATAAAAGAGGAACTATGTATGTATGTGTGTATATATGTATATACGTTATGGACTCCAACACCACTCGACAGATTGTAATGAAACTTTCAGGCATTATTAAGCATCTTTCAAGGATGGTTCAGTGAAGTTTGGTGCAGATCCGTCAAAAGGGCTCTGCCCCAGAGGGTTTTAAGTGGGTCAATGTCAGACTTTTTTATCTACAATGTTTACAAATAAATATAATTTAAAAGCAGATGTTTACTTTCACCAAGTGTTTCGTAGGTTTGAATAATCACACATTCTGTATTAGCATTAAACATGATTTGAAATAGTGCCAAAGTGTTTTTACAGAGTGCAGCTGCGACGATGTTTTCTGCACTGGGAAAATATAGTTAAAAGTGCAGCAGTCGCTACCGTTTGCCGGGGATAACTCAGCCTACAATGGCTGGGTAAAGTTCCAGGGTCTGCGATAAGGTCAGGGAAACCACTAGGCCAAAAGCCGGGTCTAACCGGTATAGGACTGGCTCATACACGGGCACTGTGAACAAGTCAAAAACAAGTCACCAAAACAAACGTGCAATAATCACTACCAGGCCTACGCCGATTCTCCACTCTCCTAGAGGGTCGTTGCTGACTACGCAACTCGGGCTTCGTCCTAACTATCCAATAGTTAAGCCCAGAGTGCCTAAAACACGGTGAGTTACACGACGACTTGCCAATAAAAACCACAACGCGTGTTATCACCAGGCGGGGTCTACTAGGCCACTATAATCCAATACACAACTCTAATGCCCAAGCTAAGAATCAAACAGTTCACTCAATAATCGTACCACATAATAATATACAAGTACACTATAGGTAGAGTGACTACACCACTAGTAGCTGGTCTCAATAAATACCAAGCCAAACAAGCAAAATTAAATGGCAATTGCACTATTAAAATATTGAGCTACTTAGTAGCAGATAAATAAATATTAAATATGTTCCAAACACTAGATAAATATATTATCTGATAGCCGGTACTCCGCTATCCAAGCTACCAAGCTAACGTGTTGGATTACTAAGCAAGCTGTTCAGGTTAAATTAAAATAATTAAATGATTAATCAATACCAACCCTACTGCTACTACCACTACTGCTACTATATCAACGTTATATTGCTTAGCCGGGCTTCTGTTAATAGGCTAATAAAACTAGCTACTAGCCTACTGGCCTCGTGCTTCCAACTACGCACGCTAAATCGTGCAGCCTAGGTTTGTCGGGCCTCAGAGTTATTAGTAATATAACTAACTCTAGGTACAACGCAAAATAATATCTACTACAGTCAATTAAATTATATTATTTGCGCTCTAGCACCTGCCCAGAACCGTCAGGAATACACTTTAATATTATTCCTGACTAATATAAATCCTAACTACCGTCAGGCTTTGACCAGCACGGTTACAACTCTAACTCTCGCAATAAAACCAGATATTAATATTATCAAACGAATAATATCAAGTCGTCCACTCACCACAAGTGGGTCAGTACCCAACTTGCACCAACACTCGGCGCGATCACACCACCAGCATACTCCGACACCACTGTCACGTACACCACTGGACGTCTCACTAGACACACCCTCGCTCTTCACTGCACGGGATCCACGACTAGAAAGTCCTTCTCGGCTATCCAGTAGTCCCGGGATACCCAAGCTTATCCGAACTGATAAGCCGGGTCAAAGGGCGCTAGCCAGGTTCGCCGCTGCCGCTTGCTTGCCTCAACAGACGCGCGGGCCAAATAGCAAATATTTACCCCCCTAGGAAAAATAACTCGTTACACAGCACAGAAAACTAGTTTACTTTTGAATAAGTCCAAATGTATGAAACCCCAATCGCAGCATACCTGTGCACTCAACAACATTTAAATTCTCCAATGTTAAATATAAAAAAAAAACATTTATCAAAGTATTATAAACAATAAAAGGGATGACAATGCCTTAATTTTTTTAACTTTCGTTCTATACCCACACAATAACATAAATTTTTAAGTGAATAATAAGCGTGCGTGCTATCTCGGGAATACCCATTTGAATACACATTTTGAATACACCATTTGAATACAAATGCCTCTCAATTTGTCACTAACCCACCACATTACTGTCATTAAAAGAAGGAACTCCAATAATACTAATGCGAAACTTAAATCCACCGAAGCTATGTGCAACGTTATCAGATTAACGATTTAAAAAATTACGTCAAAATTGATTCAAGATAAAATTATCAGTGTGGTAGGTTTAAGGGAGAAATAATCTTAATCCCAAGAATACTGATGATTTCATCCGAATTACTCTCTGAATTTAAGCAACTACAATTTCCTGAGTGTCTTGATTTTGCAATCGCCATTATAAGGCACTAGGGCAATCCCTGACTATCGTCGGTTTAAATGTAGAAAAAACATGCTTTTCACACAGACAGATGTATTTTGTTAGTGCAGCAATGCTCGCCGAATATCTGCTAGTAGGTGTATATGCATAAAAAATTATACTTTTATTTCTTCAGTGTTCAACAATCAACTAACCTTTGAGGACTCAGACATTACAATCAAATTAAGCGAACATCTGAAAACTTTTGTTAATATCAACATCATATTGATTACTAAATCTCAAGAGATGTTTGGTTTGCAGCTCGTGCGGGCAGTAGGAAGTTGCAGGCGCTGAGTCCCAGTGACAGAGCCAACTGTATCTTCACCTTGGCAGATCTGCTCATCTCTCGCCAGTCAGACATTCTAGCAGCCAACGCCAAGGACATCGCGGAGGCCACCAAGAACAACACAGCCAAGCCTCTACTGTCTAGGCTGTCCCTCTCACCCTCCAAGCTCAAGTCACTGGCCGCTGGTAAATATCACCAAAGCTATCAATACAGTTTACTGACAAATCTAAGGATCCTTATCTTGGACAATTGAGGAGAACGTATACTTTAGGGGAAAATAATTTATTAGTTCTAAATAGTTTTAAATAATGTCGCTAACAGTTCTATATAAAAAGTTTTTTCGCTGTTTTTAAAATGTTGTATAAAATCCTATATTAGTTACCACATACAGTATAGAAATGACAAAATTCTGAAATTGATTGTTGGTTACCAAAGTAGTTATCCCAGCTATATAGACCAGCTGCAAGCAGCTGTAGCCATTGGTAGAACTCTGTGGGTTGAGTGAGCCTCCCACAGAATGTGTTACTGTCATAATTAATATTTCCTCCCTAAGTTGTTGATACCGGTACTTCCAGTTTGGCTTTAATAAAGTCATTTCTTTATTCAACACAAATGACTATTGGTAATTGACATCAGTACACTCTCTTTGAGGCCCAATTTAATGTGATCATTTTTATGCTAAAACTGGGTACAGGTCTAACATGGGATTGGTATATCTTCCTATCAATAGTAAACGGTCTGGTTGTATTTAGCATCTTCTTTGTTTATTAGGCCTACTGACTTCAAACCGTTTACATTTTTTAGTTCTTACTGTAACTCCACTGTTTTCACCAGGCTTGAGACAGATTGCAGAGACGAGTCACACCAACGTAGGCCGTGTGGTGCGCAGGACAAGACTCGCCCAGGGCCTGGACCTTACTCAGGTCACTGTCCCCATCGGAGTACTCCTCGTCATCTTTGAGTCCAGACCCGACTGTCTGCCTCAGGTCTGTCTCTCTAACTGAGATTATTATATTAATAGAATGAAATGTAACTATTTCAGATGTATGCCTTGACAAAGTGTGCTGGGACAGGAAATCTGAAATTATCAAAGAAAATTATTTTAAAAAAACATTATTAAAAATACACACAGCAGGGGCATGAATTGGGCAAGCGTTGGGCAGTCATCCCCCTCCCCTTTGACTTTAAAGAGAGAGATACATCTACGGTATAAAATAATATAATTTGTATGCATATTATAACCCAATGTCTTCCGGGTAGTTTCTCGTCCTTCCCTCCCTAATTCAATGGTTTATCGCTGTCGCTGGCTCACAAGCATCAGATGGACAGGAACAGAGTACCATTTCAGACTTGATCCAAAAGTGTCACAGCAGTTTTGCTTGATACAAATGTCACTGTATATTAATGCAAATTCCGTTTCTACACCTTAAACATGTTACATTGGTCATCAGTCCGATCTCTACTAAATCCAGAGTTACCGGTACAAGCATCTTCAGTGAAGGCAAATGGGGTTTCATAGTATTAATTATTTTATTCACATATTTGATTATGAAGATCAGTTGCTAGGGACTCAGCATTCCAGCTTTAATACCATACCGTACTAGTGTACCTGTTGCTCGAATTCGAGCAATTGCGAAGCATTACAGGCGTTTTTTTTAAACAATTAACAGTTATAATTTCGGATGACTTTATAAGAGTCGACTCAAAGATTATGGAAATACTCAAGATGTACACAACAGTTAGATAAAATCATTTTTTTTTTTTGTAAATATCTCATTTTTTTCAAAAGCTGATGTAGTTTTTTAGTGTTTTTTACAAACGTTTCCCTCTCTTAGCTGCATTAGATTGTCTATAATAACGATTATAAATATAAAAAAAACATTTATATTTCTTCTACTTGGTTGTGTTTTTTGACTTTCCTACGTTTCCATTGTTTGCAAATCGGCTCTTTCAATGATTGCTCAAGAAATGTAGCACATTGTTAATTCAGTTTTATTTTTAGTATATCAAATTGTCCAGGATTTCTTGCTTTTTTCCATTGTAATAATTACACCAACCCAAATATCGTCTACAGATGCAATACGCCGAAGAATATTGCCTACGCACAACACGCCTACGTACAATCTCCAAGAAGTGGTAAAAAAGGCAGTAACCAACCCATACAATAGATATAAGTTAACTCCATAAGAAATATTTTTAAGAGTTACTGTGATATCAGGATTTTCCCCTGATTTGGTAATAAAACATTATATTGCAAAACATGACACGATGCAGATTGCAGAAGAAAATTGATTTTAAAAACTGAAAAAAACCATTGCAAATACTTCATTTTGACAAATTCAGTAAATCACAGTTTAAATATTAACAGCTGTTTCATTAAAAAGTAGTGTAAAATTATGCATATGGTCGTAATGTAAACAAATCTGCTGAGGGAACTTAAAAGGCCTCTGGGGCAGAGCTCCAAGGAAATTTACCTCGTTTATCTTTTCATGGCTCGTCTATAGACCAAGACCTTTCTTTAGAGACCCCTACCAAGTTTCTACGCCCAGCCGTTCTCTTAAATTAGCTGTGACAAAAACCCTGTTTTCCTCCATAAGAATAACATGGGATGGGAATTTAAAGGCCACTGGGGCAGAGCCCCAAGGGAATTCACCATGTTTCTCTTTTGATGGTTCATCAACAGACCAAGACCTTTCTTTAGACACCTCTACCGAGTTTCTACGCCCAGCCGTTCTCTCAAATTAGCTGTCACAAAGAAAACCAGTTTCAAATTAATATATAGAATAGCAACACTAAGTATGTCAACTTAACTTAAGAGAGAACGATGTTTCATTTAATTTTAACAGCAAATATTTTAGAGGTGCAATTTATGTGGGTGAAACTTTTATTTGTATATTTACACAAGTCATTGTTGTTTTTTTATGGCAACAGGTGGCAGCCCTGGCCCTCAGTTCTGCCAATGGTCTACTGCTGAAGGGAGGCAAGGAGGCATCACACAGCAACAAAGCACTCTTCTCTGTTGTTCAAGAAGCATTGGCGACTGTGGGAGTGCAAAACGCCATCTCGTTGGTTTGTATTATAATAGTTTTACCATGGATAAAACATAGTCCTTTAGTACGTTTCCCATCCTTATGGAACAACTAGATGAAGCCAACTTTATTGTTAGTTCTGTCCGGTTTTCTGTAGATGTCGTGCTTTGTTTACAATTTTTTTCTGGTTATTTCAGTAATTTAAAGCCATGTTTAACCAAATAAAACCTCTTAACCTCTGCTCTTTGAACTGTCAAATTAAAGTATTTACAGGGGAATTCAATTAATATATTTGTTTATTTATTTAGATTCTTCCAATAACTCCTCAAGCTTAACATACAAACTTTTCAGGCCAGTGAGGCTAAGCCCTAACCTTAAATTTAAAACTGAATATGCCTACAGGTTAATCGAGACAAAGACAAATCCAACGAATCAAAAATCATTAAAATCGGTCCAGCCGTTCTTGAGTTATAAGTAATGTAACTTTTAACACGTCTTTTTTTTATATACATAAACAAGCAGTTACCCGGCGCACGTTACTGCGCTTAACAACTATTATTTTAAATGGTAATTTGTTCTTTACAATGAATAGTAAAAGTGTATACAAAAAAAAAGAATATTTTACTTAATTGCCAGTGGATAAACAACACTTTTTTGTTTTTTCATTAGATGTATAAACATATAAGTTTTTAGGTGTACCTACCACCACATGGGCACGCAACATACAGCTGTCCGTCGTCCGTGTGAAAAGCATGCATTTTCTAAATTTAAACCGACGATAGTCAGGGATTGCCCTAGTGCCTTATAATGGTGATTGCGAAAGCAAGACACAAAGGAAATGTAGTTACTTAAATTCAGAGGATAATTCTGATGAAATCATCAGTATTCTTGGGATTAAGACTAAGTTATTTATCCTTTAAACTTACCACTGATAATTTTTGCTTCAATCAATTTTGGTGTCATTTTTTTTAATCGTCAGTCTGGCAATGTTGCACAGCTTCGGTGGATTAATGTTTTGCATTAGTATTATTGGACTTCTTTTAATGACAGTAGTGTGGTGGGTTAGTGACAAATTAAGAGGCATTTGAATACCCTAGATAGCATGCTTGATTATTATTCACTTTATAATTTATGTAAGACTTTGTGGTCATAGAACAAAAGATAAAAATATTAAGGCATTGCAATCCCTTTTAGTGAATTTCCCCTATAGGTAATAAGCTATTACCATAGTAGGTACTCATGGTAAGACCTGGACCCGGGACCGATTTCTTTTTCGTTTTGAGGTCCCTAGAGACCAAAAACACCATCCGTTCAAATTTAGTGTGATAACTCGAGCAAAACTCATCCGATTTTGCTGAAATTTGGTACAAACGAGTAAACCTACATTTATTCGAACGAGTTCGCGAACCAGCATGATCGGACTATGGGAACGGGGGTTTATGGGGGGTTTTATGGGGTAAAAATAGGGTTTTCCCATTTTTGACCCTAAAAAGACAAAATTTCTTTCCAAACCATTTTGTAGAGCTTAAAAAAACAAATAATTTAGTATGTTGAAGCGTTGTTATGCGCCAAATGGTTACGGAGAAAATTCCAAAAAACTGTTAATTTAAAATTCCCATGTTATTTTTATGGAGAATAAATAAACTGTTGTCGTTTGCTTGTTTATGAACATATTTTGATCAAATTTGGAAATTGCATTATTGGAGAATTTAAACGTTGTTGATTTCACAGGTGTGCTGTGATTGGGGTTTAATATATTTGGACTTATTCAAAAGTAAAATAGTTGTCTGTGCTGCACTCTGTGGAAACATTGTGGCACTATTTCAAATCATGACCAATACAGAATGTTGTGATTATTCAAACCTACAAAACATTTGGTGAAAGTAAACATCTGCTTTTTTAAAATTATATTTTTTTGTAAACATTGTAGTTCAAAAAGTGTTTTTTTTTTTTTTTAGTTAAATGAGGCATCAACTACTGTACTGGACGGATTCGGCTGAAATTTGGCATGATGATAGCTCACATTTCCAATTAACAGGCTAGACTTTTATTCTTATAAGGTTTACCAACAGTCTGCAGCACTATTGATTTTTTATGCTTAATGTTAACCAAGCAACAACAAAAAGCTGTGATACACATAATGAGAACCTTACTTTTTTCTATTGATTTGGTACAATGGTAGAACATTATAGGTATGGGTTATTTGCTATACTATAGTATACCGTAAATTAAAAGAACCATATTTTCATAAACCATGTCTTCTCCCATTGCAAACGCAAAGCACGAGTATAACTGCAATAAGCATTTTATACTCATACACCAAAACCGTATGAAGGACGGTACTCTGCTAGTAAATAATAATACAACACAATGTATCAACAACTGTTCATAAAAAAAATTATATTTTGTTCTCAATGAATCAATGAAAGGTTAGAAAATTGATAATTATAATAATTTGTTTTACTAAAATAATTCTTGAAGAACAGACAATAGCTCAGGGGTCCATAAATTATGGTTCAAAATCAAACCATTGTTAGGTTTTGTATAAGCTCATATACCGTACTGTAGGCTATACATTACATTTCTTGAACAGTTAACAATTGTAATTTAATTAGCCTAAGTACTTTTTATCTATGCCCTAGTTTTATGTATTTAAAATCTTTTAAGAGTTTTGAAAAAAGCTTACAAAATTATTTAGCCTATTTAAAAGTTAAATGAAGCATGTGATCAATACACACTCAGATGCAATCCACAACAAACTTGTAAGTGGCGATACATTGCTGCTGCTGTGGCTTCCCTCCACTTTAAAGAGTAATTAGTTCCAGGGTTTGCCAAGTTAGATCTATCACTTTACTGTGAACCTCATTGCCTGGTATAAATTCTCTTGTCTGAAGAGGCTGGATTATTCCCAAGCTGCTAATTTTGTTTCTTGCTTATCTTCAATTCTCTTAGAAACTGTCACAATCAAGTTAATCAATTATTTCACAGTTCAGTCCTCTCTCTTGGCTCTTTATGCTTCTTGCTTATAGAAGTGAGGGAAATCCCATACCTGTAATTTATTACTCTTATTGCAAGACGATGCATTAACCATCGATGGATTTTTTAAAATGGAAACTCTTTTAAAAATCTAAACGTAATGTTTTCTTAGTTAGGAAATTATCACTTCACTTCAACATAAGTTGCAGTGAAGTCTTAATTACAGTAACTGTCACTCTTTTCATTATCAACCTCTGTTAGCTTTTATCTCAAATAAGTGTCTTGTATATAGGTTGTAAAGGTTATATAAGGTTATATAAGGTTATAAAGTTTTACATTTATACTCTAGGTTTTTGCTGTGCCTAGCAAATAAAATAAATATTATGTTTAATTCACGTATAAACTGTGTTTCAGTATTTCATTCCAAAGTTCTTGTGAATTCCCCAACTGTAGTCATTTATAAACAAATGTCTGTTATCCTGACAATCTGACATCGGTCTATTATCCTGTTCTTTTAAACTGACAATATCACGGTCCCACAAGTGATGGAAACAAAAACCTGTTATGATCACTAGGGAAATGGTTTACTTCTAATGTGCATTATGTGTAAGCACATGTAACAAAAACTTTTAAAATAATTTGAAATCACAATAATGTTCTAATGCCGTGTGTTTTAGATCTCCACTAGGGATGAGATCAGCGACCTTTTGTCCATGGAAGGCTACATAGACCTGATCATCCCCCGAGGGTCCAGCGACCTGGTCCGCAGCATCCAGGAGAGATCACAACACATCCCAGTTTTGGGTCATGCAGAGGGAATCTGTCATGTGTACGTCGACAAGGAGGCGGACCCACAGAAGGCACTCAAGATCGGTAACCAACATTTGAATTCTTACTATCGTTGAATCAAATTACTTCAGCATTTCAAGTACCATAACAAAGTGTTTCAATATTGTGTCTCAAACAAAGACCAACATCAGTGCCAAAAGTTATAAAGAATGTTGCAAAAGACAGTCAAACCATAGTGGGCCCAGTTACTTTGTAGACATAGTCCAAGAATGAAACTTAAAACTCAATTACAAAACAAGATTTAAACACACAATGAATTGAAGTTTTGCAGACTTCAAATTATAGTAAACCAAAGATCAGGTCTGGGAAATGCTAACTTAATGATTATTCTAGTAAAAACATTAAATTTGCAATCACCTATACTCCCAAAACTATAGGGTTTCAACTCTAGTTTCCCCAGTGAAATGTTGCATCTTCTAAACATTATACCTACAGCAACCTACTTAATGAAACAGTTTTCTATTGGTCTGCACAGCAAATTATGGTTCTATACACTTCCAGTATATTCACATAGTTAAACACTACCTATTTAAGGGGAAAACCCCATTGTGCTACACTAAATGGCGCCAAAAATTTCTAGAACATAAAATTTCCAACAGTAAATGAAAAATATATGAAACACATTACTCAAGTAGGTTTGAATGATCTTATCGTGTTAACCCAACAGATCTTTGTTACAAATGCTTAAGCTTTTATACAAGAAAAACTTAAGAAAAGAGATGATTATTCAGTAAAAAGAAAACGATGTAATAGAATACAATATAATTTCTGTAGGATGAAAATTATTTTAACAAATATATCATCATTTTTGAGATTGTAGTTTCAACTCTCCTATCGTATGTATATAATGCTAAAATGCAAGTATGTGTTAAAATAACTAGGTGGCGTTCGCAGAGGCATCCACACAATTGAGCGGAGTGGAGTTATCAAGGGCTCATATTATATTGTTTTTGTCATACTGCAGTAAAAACAGTAGTTTTTAATGCATGCGTTGCGGGTCTAAAGTAGGTAGCATTTTTAATATTTAGGGAGTAAAAATAGTTTTTAGCCTCTATGGAGTAAAAATCAGCTGTTGTCAGCTCAGTTGTAAATTTCAATTGTAAACGATTGTATGTATAGAAAATATGTATCGATTCGTTCTTCGTAATCATTTTAACATACAGTCTACAGTCTCTTCCCGTAGCATTTTAGCATTGCAGATGCATTAATCCATTCCCAAACTCAACACTGCTCACCTTTACTACTTCCTTCACCACACCCTACATCGTGGACCTGTTTCCCTCTCTTCCTATAGCATTTTAGGATTGCAGATACATTAATGTAATTGCCAAAGACAGTTCCTACACTCTGCACTGCTAGCCTTACTACTTCCTTTACCATTTACTACGTCATAGACATGTTTCCTTCCTTTCTCATAGCATTTAAGTATTACAGATACATTTATCTAACTGCCCAAACGGTTCCCCCACTCTGCAATGCCAGCCTTTACTACTTCCTTCACCACATCCTACGTCGTGGGGCCTGTTTCATTCCCTTCTCATAGCATTCTAGTATTGAGGATACATTAATCTAGATGCCACAGACGGATATCACACTATGCTGATGCTCATACAATAAATTGCAGATAGATTAATGCATTGCAGATACATTAAAACTGCTACAAACGGTTTCCAGTTCCCACACGCCACACTACTCACCTTACTACTTCTTTCAACTCTTCCTACGTCGCGGATCTGTTTCCCTCTCTTCCCATAGCATTTTAAGATTGTAGATACCTAAATTAAATCGTCATAAACAGATCCCACACTCCAAACAACTCGCCTTTACTATTTCCTTCACCACTTCCTACATCGCGGACCTTTTTCCCTCCCTTTCCTTAGCATTTTAGTATTGCAGATACCTTAATCTATTCGTCATAAACAGATCCCACACTCCAAACAACTCGCCTTTACTATTTCCTTCACCACTTCCTACATCGCGGACCTTTTTCCCTCCCTTTCCTTAGCATTTTAGTATTGCAGATACCTTAATCTAATGGTCATAAACAGTTCCAACACTCCGGACAGCTCGCCTTAACTACTACCTTCACCACTTCCTACATCGTGGACCTTTTTCCCTCCCTTTCCTTAGCATTTAAGTATTGCAGATACCTTAATCTAATCGTCATAAACAGTTCCAACACTCTGGACAGCTCGCCTAAACTACTTCCTTTACCACTTCCTACGTCGCAGACCTGTTTCCCTCCCTTCCCATAGCATCATAGGATTGCAAATACCTTAATCTAATGGTCACAAACAGATCCCACAACCCAAACAGCTCGCCTTTACTACTTCCTTCACCACTTCCTAAGTCGCGGACCTGTTTCCTTTCCTTCCAATAGCAATTAGGATTGCAGATACCTCAATCTAATCGTCATAAACAGTTTCCACACTCCGGACAGCTCGCCTTGACTACTTCCTTCACCACTTCCTACGTCGCGGACCTGTTTTCCTCCCTTCCCCTAGAATTTTAGGAATGCAGATACCTTAATATAATCGTCATAAACAGTTTCCACACTCCAGACTGCTCGCCTTTACTACTTCCTTCACCACTTCCTACGTTGCGGACCTGTTTCCCTCCCTTCCCATAGAATTTTAGGAATTCAGATACCTTAATCTAATCGTCATAAACAGATTCCACCCTCCAGACTGCTCGCCTTTACTACTTCCTTCACCACTCCTACGTGGCGGACCTGTTTTCCTCCCTTCCCATAGAATTTTAGGAATGCAGATACCTTAATGTAATCGTCATAAACAGTTTCCATACTCCAGACTTCTCACCTTTACTACTTCCTTAACCACTTCATACGTCACGGACCCCAAGCTAGTGTCGTCATTTGATTATATTAATGATCCATACCGTTTCTGTTCTAATATCTGTGGAATAATGCTATCAGCTATTTCTTTATCTATTGCATTCAAAAGTCAACAGCTGATCATATGTCTTTGTTTATGTGTCAAATACTGCTTCCATAAGGATTACATTGAAACTTTGAGACCCAGTGGGGCGGATTCCTATGAGACTTTTTTAACGCCATATAGATGTTGGCACTCACCGATGTGGTATTCATCACCATGCAAAATTTGAAAACGATTGATTCAGCCGTCTAGGAGGAGTTTGCGTATTACGAAATGCATAAGAGTCGACGTATAGGTAAGAGCTTCGCTCGCTCCGCTCAATTATCAAGTACACCTGAATGTTTCTGTACTTATTATGTTGAAAGCATTTATTTAGTTGAAAAGCTAAATCTGAAAGATCAAAGGATGAACTATCAGTGTATTAAAACAGTTTATTTCATCAGGGTGTTTAGGCACGGTAGTCTCCTCTGCAAATAATAAAATTCTAAAAAATTATATTTGTTTGAAGGTTTTGTGTCAAGAGGAAACTTATTTATAAACGGCTCTCAGTAAACTGTTGACAATGTTGACTGGTTGTGAGCAGATATTACATTGAAGGTTGTGACATCTATTGCAGTTTGTTACTGTTTGTGTTGATATGTTCTACATTGTTTATTGTATGTTTATTGTTTATTACTTATACATTTTATAAAATTTTTTTAATAGTTTTCATGTCTTTATGTTATGGTTTCTTTGCTTTCATGCTCACAAAAGAAAAATATGTAAGTAAATTTGCTTGAGTTTAAATGTGTTTATTAACTTTTAACGTATACTTCAAAGATGTCATCTTCTAGTATATAAAACTTTTTTACAAACTGTCTGAAGCTGGGAACCAAGAGATGATGTCAAAATATCAGGATACAAATTAAAATACAGTACTATTTTCAACTTTTTTTGTATTTTTTTAGTTACATTAATTTTAAGTAAACTAGTGCACCTGTTGCTCAAATTCGAACTATTTTGAAGTATTACAGGCGTTATTTCTAAACGAATAACAGTCACGATTTCTGATGACTTAAAAGAGTAAACTCAAAGATAATGTAATCAATCACTCCACTCCAGTTATCGAAACTGGAAACGAGCTCACTCTGAAAACGATCGCTCACTCTACTCCATCTATCGAAACTGAAAACGAACGCCCTTGTGTGTATCATGTATTTACTATGAAACAGCTGTAATTAATACAAATTATTCGATTGTTTGAGTAAACAAAATCCTTTCTTCATAAGAAATACATTGGGATTTTGATGGCCTGTGAGGCAAAGCCCAAGGACTTTTATTACAGGAATTGGTGAAAGGGGGCGCCTACACAAAAAATACTTAATTTTGACATATCGTTTTAAAAATATGTCCATTATTAACGGAGGAGTAGTGTTTCGTAGAAATCGCCTTCACGTATTACATATAAGGATTTTTCATCAATGGCAATGAATGTGCTGATTGTATAACTTTAATTGCATACAGTAATGTCATGCCCTCCTGTAATTCAAGGCCGCCGCGATGGCGTTGCGGCTATTGCCATGGTAATAACAGTTTTAATAACTAAAGTGTAAACGTAAACATTTCCTATACGGTCCATTATAAATTAGTGCAACACCACTGTTTCGGTTTGACGGGACATGGGTGTTGCCACTTTTGTCTCACAGCGGCCTTGTATTAGAGGAGGCTAAGATAACGTTGCTTCAAATAATGTAGTGTGATATTTCTGCTTTTGATTTTTTACAAAATTTTAAACTACACTGAAGGTAATATTATATTTGTTGTCATACTGCAGCAAAAATAGCCATTTTTTTTTTGTTGTAAGTAGTAGTTGTAAGTAGTTTTTTGTAATTTTTTTTTTAAGTAATCGCATGTATCAAAATTATTTATCGATTGATTAAATCGGTTTGTAGCTTATTGCTGCATTCTTGTCAATAGATTGACGCATCGATAGTATAAATGTACAGTAACAAAATCTTAATTGCCAAATGATCAAATCACTTACTAAAAGTTGGTTATTTGCATCAGCAATACTGAAATCAAGTTGGAAGTCGTTTTGAGATGTTGTTTTTAAATTAAAAGTATTTCCGTTTTCTAACGGTTACTAGTTGCAAGTTTGCTAATTAATGTTGCATTATGACCAAATATTTAGTTTAACACACAAGCAAAAAGTCACTTAACAGTGATGAAATATACAATTTTTATTCTGGTTATTTAGTAAATCTTGTCAATACTGTACACTTTTACTTTCTCCCCCTATACATAGTATATGGAAAAAGTTTTGTTTTCGTCAAAACTTTCAAGTTGAGTTTTGAGTGGATATATCCGTTTTGGGTCCCTCTGGACCCAAACAAGTGGTTTTCAAAGTGATGTCTGTGTGTGTGTCTGTGTATATGTGGATGTGTACAGAGCTACAGACTACGTGAGCCAATTTTGAATAAATTTGGGATGTAGATACTAATCCATGGTATCTCCAGGGGTTTTTTATTTTTAGAAATTTTGGTTTTTTTGGTGATTTTCCCATAAAATAACAGAAACATTTATTTTCTCCTAAATGGCCTGAACGAATTTGATAAAAAAATTTTATGTAGTCTATAGCCCTTTAAATTCTGAACGAAATGGTAAAAATCGTATTTCCGTAAAAATTACGGTTCAAAAGTTATTGTAAACTATATTATTTTTCATCACTCCGTAACGAAAGTTACGTAACTTTCGATAACAGCAGACATCAATGAAAGTAGTCGTTTCCCAAGCTCTAATTTAGGGCGAGGGAAAATCGATCAGCTGATTTTCCCTCGCTCTAATTTTACTTTCCCTAGCTCTCAATTAGTTCTCTATTTACTCACTACGTGCGCTAGTGTTTTGTTACGGTTTAATTTAATGATTTGAATCAGCTGTATGTATTGTTAAAAGTTGTTTTATTGTTTTATTTTACTGTTTATTCCAAATTTATTGAAAAAAATACGTAGGTTTCCTTTATAATATATTCTTTTATTTTTATTTTTTTTATTAATCGAAAATATATGTAGGTTTCCTTTTAGAATATTTTATTTTATTTTTATGTTTAATCAAATTAATTGAGAAATAAATTAGTTGTAATATTACTGAGGCCTGCTATTATGCGTTTGCGTATTTTTGCATTGTGATGAAAAGTATCGTTCATAACTCATACCGAAAGTTATTATCCGGCGCTTGCTCCATTATTCCCGCCTCTCATATACTCGGCTTCGCCTCGCACGTGAAATTGGTATTCCCTGTGTTCGGCTTCGCCTCACACAAAAACTTGAGCGCGCACCGGAAAATGCCACTTTCGGTCCTAGTAATGAAATATACTATTCCCATACTAATAAAAACTCTAAAATAAGAGAAAATCGTGTTTTTGAAAAAAGAAAAAAACAGCCGGTTTTGATTTAAATTAGTATGTGATGGTCCTTAAAACTCTTAACAAAATAGTGCAACCCCCCCCCCCCCCATTTCAGTAAAAATTATGGTTTAAAAGTTATTGAAACTTGTGTTATTTTCCCATAAAAACCCATGAAAAACACTGAATTTGATTGAAATTTGTCTGTTATGGTCCTTATAATTCTAAAAAAAAATAGTCCAAAAATTATAGTTACTCTCATCGCTTAGATATGATAGAAGGTTGTTGAGAAGCTAATGGGAGAAAGTATGTGTCAGATTGCTGATACTGTTTATTTAACATTCAACTTTGACAACTAAACAATTCATACGTAAAAACAAATTGCAGTATGTAAATCAATTACTATCAGGAAGGCTCAATTTCAGCGGGAACACAGAAGAATATAAGTCTGCGACCTCCCTAAAGGAAATTATACACACTTTTTTTTAGCAAAAATGTCAAACAAAACAAATACTGATAGCATTTATTTACATAATACAAGGCAATACAGTACAGATACAATTTTAAATACTTAGCACCCTTGATCCTTGTGAAAGTCTTGTCCTCAGCATTTCTTATTTCACTTAATTTGTCTTTTGAATTTGCCTTAATTGTTTATGGAGTAAATGTAACTAGAGGTATTATGGAGGATAGAGAAGTCGGACCATAGCCTATTCAAGGCTCACATCAGTAGACTGATGTGTTACCTATTCATTATGATAAGGGAGTGATTGGTTGCAGTGAGGGATGCTAAGTGTGACTACCCAGCAGCTTGTAATGCTATGGAGACTCTGTTGCTACATGAAGACCATCTCAACAGTGGCTTCTTTGTAGAGGTCTGCAACATGCTCAAACATGAGGGGGTAAGTAGCAGATGTCATACCCTTGGCCTTAGGCACCCAATATTTTAACAAATTCAATATTTGGGCGGATTTTAAAACACATTTTACTACAGGAATTCAATGGCCGCCTTTTACTAGGTGAGAAAAGATACAAATATAATTGGAATGTCATCGTATTAACGTTATTTTTTCTAAGTAAATTTGATAATTTGTCAGAATAAATCGGCTACAAAAGGCATACAATATTGATAAATAAATATCAGTAAAATACTTTTTTTTATTTGTTCGCATGTATTTAGTTTTTCAAATGTATTATTAAGTTTATAATTTAAATAAATATATAGGATGGAGAGGACACAGCTAACTCACCTGATGAAAGGTTGCAGACGAGTCAAAGAACACATAAAACACATACATAATAATACTTGATATTTCGCCTCTTTTGGCACAAATAAGAAATAAGTTTATAATTTGTATTATTTTGCTTGAGCCTTGGTCCTAATTTTTGCGCAATACAAATTGGCCTTTTGCCTGCGGCCTTAGCTCTTCCCTGGACCATGTGACTTATTCCATAACAATACATCACTGTTTTAAGATCACCGGATAGACCAGTAGAGCCCATGGTGACAAACAGTTGAGAGTTCCAAGTAGCTATATGAGCTGTAACAAGAATGTAGCATTTCAGCATTTGTACATGAGTATGCCTACTATGTAGTAACATAGAGACTACTTGTGAGCAGGTGACAGTGTATGCTGGGCCCAAGCTGTCAGAGAAGTTGACGTTCGGCCCACCTCCTGCCAAATCTCTCAAGACAGAGTACGGCAGTCTGGAGTGTGCTGTGGAGATCGTCAGTAACATGGAGGAGGCTGTGGAACACATCGCTCAGTTTGGCAGCGGACACACAGACGTCATAGTCACTGAGAACCGTGAGTCAGATATCTCAGTTAGACATAGTATTCAGAATGGAGGTGGTTCTCAAAGATTATCTCACAAAATATCTTGAGCAGTTTCGTCATGATGGAATAGAATAGGTACAAGGGATGTCTGTAAATCGAGGTCTCCATCAAGCTCCCTAACAGCCAGACAAGCTAGTAACTAGTTCAAATCTGAGACCAACGTTGCTTTCCTTGTTTGCTGGGTCAGGTTTTAATTACTGTTGTGAATTACATAAAAAATGTGATGACCTTGAAACTCCAAACCAGTTTAACTATAAACCCTTGATGTTTGATATTATGTTATTCTTTTGTGGAGTAGTGCCACTGTGATAACAATTAACTTGCTCTATGTGCCTTACATAAATATTAGGTAAAGATTTGAAAATCAAAATTAGACTTTTTGCAATGCTTTCATACTCCGCTCACAATATTTCGGCAGTTTTAGGTGAAGAAATATATCCCCTTCACTCGATATTACCTTTAAAACAAGCTCAACAGCGGATGTTAAAACATCAAACAGCTGCAACATTTAAGTTATACATTTAAAGTAATTCTGAAGCCTGATTGAGGTCAGGAATCAAATCAGGAACCTACAGACTGGTAAAGATCGGTTTAAATTGTTTAAAAGAATGTGTCAATTAACCTTTTTTATCACAAACAAAATTAAGATCTTCTCTATATTTTTTAAATCAAAAACGTAGCCAACATTTATATAAACAGTTGTTAATTTAATGGATGACAGCTTTGGGTACCGGTATAACCAGTGAATGGCCATTTCGGTCATTAATTAGATTTGGAATATTTTTTTTTTCAAAATTTTAGAAACAATTGTTTACTGATGGATTAAGTGTCATTGGATTACTTGCTAAGAAACAAAAAAAATCTCATCAGAAACCATTTGGATACACCATAACCAGAATTTGACCACAAGTTACAGTAATTTACTAGATAGAAAGTTGTCATTCATCAATATAATATAACCTATATTTCAACGATGCTAAAATAGTTATTTTACTACATTCAGGGTTTTCATGGCTCTGAGGTAAGAATCTTGAACTTGTTATTTCGTGAAAAGGAGGGGGTTTGATTAAATTTTAAAATGTTGTATATTTGGTCATTCACTAATGCAATGATTTATGTGCGATAAATTGTATTTTTCAATATAACATAATACATAATGGAAACTCGCCCTACAGTAACGTAAACTTTCACTTTACAGAAGAGAAAGCTCAGCTGTTCCAGAGAGATGTGGACAGTGCTTGTGTGTTCCATAACGCCAGTTCCCGATTTGCTGATGGATACAGATTTGGACTTGGTGAGTTTAGTGTTTTATTTTATAACTGCGTACACAATTTGATAGGACTCAAAACTTGTTTCTGTGGCAAATCCAACGCAATAAACTGGACATTTTAATAGGCTTCAATATTGTTTCCAAGGCTAATACAATACCATTTTTACTTTACAATGATTATGTTTGTTTAAGACAGTAATTATTACTTGTTACAATAAGTGAAGTTTGTTGATTCTAGATCTACACCTTAAAGTGTGATTTACCTACCTCAAACAGGTTACAGTTATCAAAAAAGTAGCCTCTTTAAAATCCATTTCCATAAATTGTTTTGAATCTTGTTTACAATATGACAGTGGAAAAAAATTAAACTGAAGAATCGCTGTTAAATTATAATTCATATTTTAAAAAGCCCATCATAAAGAAAGTTGGTCAGCTTCGTAGAATCTTAAAAAGTGAACTTTTGAAATAAATTTAACACACGATGAACTTAAGGGAAATTACCTTTTTCGTCACCATTCATTTTTCACCACTGTCCCTCCAATAGATCATAAGGTTAATAAATTATCATTAGTTTCATTATCATTCGAGACAGGGTCATCACCAATGTGCATATTTTAACCAAAATATGAGTAAAGGATGAGTGTTGAAAAGAGTCCAGTTTTTTCATTAGTCAAGACCCTAACATAAATTAAAAGCCCAATATTTAAATTAAAAGCCCAGTTGAATGACAGCTCCAGTTTCGAACCATCAAAAAGCTACTTTTCTCAGGATCGAACCGGTGACCTTTTGATTACTAGGCTTATAACCACTGAGCTACCGAGCTATGTCTGTCAAAAAATGACAACTCAATTGTAGAAATCAGTTAAATAGGATAAAAGAATATAGATATTTTTTTCAATTTCATGTAGTTTATACCTTTTTGTAGGAGGTGGGACCAATCCCTGATCATGTTACAGTCAATCTTTAGTTAGATAGCATAATTTGTGATGTGGAAAGCGAATAGGGACCTCTTGTCGGGAATTTTCTATTTTGAGTTATATTTATATTTGAATTCCTTATTAAATTCCGAGAAAAACGTTTTGGAAAAAACTATTTTGAAAATTTCTAATACGCATAAAAACAGTTTTTTTTTTTTATTTAAGAAACGATTTCGGTATCAAAAGAAAGCTTTGTAATGTCCTCTTTGGAGGTAAAACCAATTTTTGTCTTAACTCACAGTAGTTTTCAATTTAAATAATTGTTTTATCGAAGCATGTCGTAAAAATCACATTTCAGAAAAGGGACCTCTTGTCGGCCCTATGTTATTTCACCATAAGATAATAAAAGGTTTGTCGGGACCACAAAATTGGTGGGATATTTTGATCTCTGTAAACTGAACTTTGTTGTAGACCTCTAAATTTCCACTAGAATTCAGTACAATTCATTTTTTAGACTAAAGTCTGTTTATAAAGTGAATTTTAGAAATGAGACCTCTTGTGGTTACGACGAAATAACATTAAGCGACAAGAGGTACTTTTCCTCAGACCGTGCAGAGGCTAACAAAATTATTTATTTCAACCTTTTACGCCTTCAATTCGATATTTTAACTGATACTCTCATGTTCTATGTTAAATGAGGTATAACAATCGATGAAAAACAGAATTTTTATATTTTCAACCATAATTACTTATATCGGCCGTACTGAATGACAAGAGGTCCCTTTTCGCTTTCCACATCACAATTGATAGTCCAATAACAAGGGGTCCAATGTAGATTTTTGTCCCACTTTGGGTTGAACCTGCAACCTGAAGATTTGAAGGTAAACTGCTCAACTGGCCAAAGGTGTTTGACAGCACAGTATCAAGAGCAAGTACCTAGTTAGAAAGTTGTAGGTGATGGCTAGTTCTCTCTCTTCTAATATTTATTTCTGTGAATAGTTGTGGAAAATTTCTCGAGTGCAGCAATAGCAGTTTGTACTCGCGTTACACTACACATTATATTTTTCCTATGGTAACTATAAAGAATATAAATAATTAGTCTTTCAAACAGTGTTTAACACGTTTTTAGGTTAGGTTAAATCCAAACATTGAACGAAATGGGAAACGCTGCACCAGCTGATCGTAGTCGTAATACTTTAAGTGTTGCCAACTTATTTTCAAGCGTACACATATTACGTGCGTAACAAAAGCACGCAGTTTTGTGTTGTTTAGTTGGAATACTGGTTTGCGTGGAATAAACTGTACGGCAAAGGTAAAAATTGTACAGCAAAAGTAAGTTGATGCAGCAATTAGCAACTTTCTGTGCTATAATCAGTGCAAGGAAGGCCACTTTGTCAGGTGACTGTAGAAAAGTATGTTTCATTGTTTGGTCACCAATTTGGCCAAGAGATATAATATTGTTTACAAGACCATTGTTATTTTTTTTCCTTCCTTTTATTCTGAAGTTTTGGGCTGTCTCCAAGCTCAGATTTCTGCAGCTGGTATTGGTATAAATAGAAATGTAAATACAGCTTCATCCCTTATTACTGAAAATATGCTGTGATACAAACTTAAAATGCTGCTGGAAATTCAGTCATCAGGTTAGCGGGGATAGGATGATTGTTAAAACAATGAACAATACACCATATTTATTGTTGTTTTTAGAGGTTTGTGCAAGTACAAGGGAAAACTCTAGCAATGAGACCTCAACTTAATTGTATCCCAAAGATTAATCCTGGTTGGGTTTAGTACCAGAAACATTGTAGTACTAACCGCGGGGGTGATGTGTGCAGGTGCTGAGGTTGGTATCAGCACGGCTCGTATCCACGCCAGAGGACCCGTGGGTGTGGAGGGGCTGCTGACCACCAAGTGGATCCTGAGTGGCAACGGTCACACGGCTGCAGACTTTGCTGAGGGCGGACCCATGACCTTCACACACGAGACTCTCCCCATCAATTGACTTGTTGACATACACTGTCCTCGTCCCCCTTGTCCCACTGTCTATTGTTACCCTCACTTCTGTCAAGGCTTGTACTGGCTGTTAAACAGATACACCAATTATGGCTGATCATCAAGTCTCCAGTTAGCTTTCTCTACAATGTATAAATAACTGCAAGGCTGCACATTTTATTTCAATCTCTCATTAGTTATCTTCAATCATATTAAAAAAAAAAAATAAAGTAATAAGTATCAAGATCAATATTTTTCAATAACGAAATGAGTAATTTTTACCCTGCACTCAGGGAAATGCAAAAGTGTTGACAATGTACTATGTGTGTATATTTTGTTTGTTGATGTATTTTTATTCTTAAGAAAAATAAATGTTTTTTATTTGTTTATCGCCTGACTTCATTTAATATCTGACCTATCTCTGAAATAATCGAGGATGGTTGTTGCTCCGACAAATGTAAATTCGCTTAGTCGGCAGGTTTGCTGTGGCGGGGGTATTTATCTTTCGATTGTTCCAAACGGATTTTTACAAAACTTGGTATCCTATACTCTAATACGAGCAATGTTTGCTTGTATGCTTGCTTGCTTGCTTGCTTGCACAAAGATCTCGAAAACGGCTCCAAAGATTTTCTTAAAATATTGTAAATAGTTAATTCCTGGCCTAAAAACAAGTTTACTGCAGTTAGAACTGCCAACAAAAATCTAATTACGTAGAAAAATGAAACTGAAAGTCACATTTTTTTAACATTAGTCTTATGGGTTGCTAAGTAAAGGCCCGTTTTGCCAGAAGCGTCTCGTGCGTCTATCGCTCAGCGATTATCGCTCCGCGTCTATCGCTGCCCACTGCTTTGCATTGTTTTAGGTTAGTCTATTTTGCCAGAAGCGTCTATCGCTACAGCCGCCAGCGTCTGTAACTGAGACGCTAGCGTCTGACGTGGACCACTGCTCCTGGAGCAGACGGAGACGCAGTCGCTAGCGATTATTACTGGAACAAGCACGTGTTTAGTTGTTGATATATCTTTGTTTCCTAAAATAAGTCGTGTTTACAAGTTTAATGACATCTCACAATCAAAGTGGGGATTCAATAGTGAAGAAGATTTAAAAAAAAACTAGTGAAAAATTAGAAAAAACTAGTGAAACTTGGTCTCATTAGAGTGGAGGTGATTTTCAATTAACAACTTAAAATATCCCTCTTCAGTTCTCTTAAAACATATTACGCACTTCTTCCCTAGGTTTGCACAACATTTCTAATATCTCTTCATCGTTTAATTCCTCAGCTAACAAATACTTTCCTATTTGCTTTTTACAGCTCATTTTCCCATTCACTGATCGAATAATGGCAAGCAACAGACGCTTCTGGCAAAATAGACCCGAGCGATAGACGCTGAGCGATTATCGCTCTAGCGATCATCGCTGAGCGTCAGACACACCAGACGCTTCTGGCAAAACGGGCCTTAACCATCTTGGCTGAATTAAATAACAAGGAAAAAGTAAACAAAAGACTTATAAGTTGTCTATCCACAGTATACTAGCAAAACAAAATACAGGACAAAAGGAAAAACATCAGTTGTTACTATTGAGCAAAGATTATAAAGCAGATTACTCAATACATTGAAGTCAAGGGTAGCAGTATGGAGTGTAGGATCTGTTTATGACGATTAGATTACGGTATCTGCAACCCTAAAATACTATTGGGAAGGGAGGGAAACAGGTCCGCGACATAGGCAGTGGTGAAGGAAGTATTAAAGGCAAAGGCGAGTTGTCCGGAGTGTGGGATCTGTTTATGACGATTAGATTAAGGTATTTGCAATTCTAAAATGCTATTGGGAAGGGAGGGAAACAGGTCCGCAACGTAGGAAGTGGTGAAGGAAGTATTAAAGGCAAAGGCGAGTTGTCCGGAGTGTGGGATCTGTTTATGACGATTAGATTAAGGTATTTGCAATCCTAAAATGCTATTGGGAAGGGAGGGAAACAGGTCCGCGGCGTAGGAAGTGGTGAAGGAGGTATTAAAGGCAAAGGCGAGTTGTCCGGTGTGTGGGATCTGTTTATGACGATTAGATTAAGGTATTTGCAATCGTAAAATGCAATGGGAAGGGAGGGAAACAGGTCCGTGACGTAGGAAGTGATGAAGGAAGTAGTAAAGGCGAGCAGTCCGGAGTGTGGGATCTGTTTATGACGATTAGATTAAGGTATTTGCAATCCTAAAATGCTATGGGAAGGGAGGGAAACAGGTCCGCGACGTAGGAAGTGGTGAAGGAAGTATTAATGGCAAAGGCGAGTTGTCCGGAGTGTGGGGTCTGTTTATGACAATTAGATTAAGGTATTTGCAATCATAAAATGCTATGGGAAGGGAGGGAAACAGGTCCGCGACGGAGGAAATACTGAAGGAAGTAGTCAAGGCGAGTAGTCCGGCGTGTGGGAACTGTTTATGACGATTAGATTAAGGTATCTGGAATTCTAAAATGCTATAGGAAGGGAGGGAAACCGGTCCGCGACGTAGGAAGTGGTGAAGGAAGTAGTAAAGGCGAGTAGTCCGGAGTGTGGGAACTGTAATTAGATTGAGGTATTTGCAATCCTGAAATGCTATGGGAAGGGAGGGAAACAGGTTTGGACATAGGAAGTGGTGAAGGAAGTAGTAAAGACAATTAGTCTGGAGTGTGGGAAATGTTTATGACGATTAGATTAAGGTGTCTGCAATTCTAAAGTCCTATGGGAAAGATGGGAAACAGGTCCATGACGTAGGAATGGTGTAGGACGTAGTAAGGCTAGCAGTGCAGAGTGTAAGAACTGTCTGTGGCAATTACATTAATGTACTATCTGCAATCCTAACCAACATGCAATGGGAAGGGAGCAAGATTACTAGAAAAATACCGGTATGGATCATAAACATAAACAAATGACGTTTTTGGCCCGAAAATAAACATTATTTAACATTGCTTAAATGGAACTGCTAAAACATATGTTTAATGCTATTAGTATAGGATTCGGGCCAACAACGTCATTTGTTTATGTTTATGATCCATACCGGTATTGTTCTAGTATTCGTGGAAGGGAGGGAAACAAGTCCACGACGCGGAGTGTTGAAGGGGGTCGCCGTCTATGTGTCACCCCGACAACCCATCACCTCGGTATTTTGGGCACAGACGACAACGTGTCACCTCGTAAAAATATAACGATGCCGTCTAGGTGTCACCTCGTCTAGTTGTCACCTCTTCCCTGGAGGTGATTGTTTGTCGTGTGTAGAGACGACTGCCTGTCACCTCGCAAGCTTGCGTCAATGTGTCACCCCGACTACCCGTCACCTACTCTAGGCCCAGGTGACGATCTGTCGTTGCCGTTTACGACAAACAGTCACCTCGTACGCTCGCGACAAGGTGTCACCCCGACTACCTGCCACCCCGCTCCATCTGTTTACGTTTTCTTGTAACGCATACTAGGATTTCTCCACTTGGTTTATCAGCGCTACCATGCTTAAAAACAAATAATTTTGTATATGTTACAATAAATAATAAACAAATAATAAAATACATTATAAATTATTCATGTTTAATCTTCACTAACTAGATGATACACGTAGGCTCCACCCGGGTAATAAAACTAAAAAATCGAACAAAGTAATAAAATAATACTAAAATACAGGTAGTTAGAACCGAATAACATTAGGTTGGTTCTGTATACTGCAACAAGTATAAAAATAACAATTGCAATCTAAATGCAGTTATTGAAATGTTTGGACATTTTCCAATGTAGGAGAGTTTATAAAAAGATCAGTGACACTGTAACATAAATTTTAGTTTAAGCCAACATTGCATGCTATCAGCTTAAAAAGAAGTCAGTCATTATGTCTGGGGAAGGAAATACAAACAACCTTTTGCGATTAAAAATTGTCATGTTAGTGCAAAATATAAACTCAGTTCCAGATCATATAGTACAGGTAAAATAATACCAAAAAAGCCACCAATAACAAAAAAATTTGTCCGTTGACGAACCTTGGTGAAAACTTTCCTTTTGTCATAAGATTTAAGAATCTCATAAAAAAGTCAGTCCATAAAAAAATTTTAGGTGGAAGGGTGTTTTTCTGGGGGGGGGAGGAATATCACTTTGAAAAACTCAAAATTCCAATTTGACGAAATATAGGCATGTGACACATGTTTTTGTGGTTATTTTTGATGCAGAATCGAATAAAGATAAGAGTCAGACGATATAACCTCCATATAAAGAGTTTTTGTCTTGATTACCTCTTATATTCGATAATTTTCCCAATTAGTACAGGTAAGATGATATCAAAAACACTATAGTATAAAAAAATTTCCGTTGATGAATCAGAGTGAAAACCACTTTACATATAGCTTTTGGCATAAAAATAAAGAATCAAAATAGCGCATAAAAATAGAAAAAAACCCCGCCGCAGCAAACCTGCAGACTAAGCGAATATTTCTAATTACCTGATTGGTGTTTCAATTAAATCTATTTTATCTTAAATAACACTAGGTTTAACAAGTACCTAGGGTTGCTGCTACAGGGAGGGTAATATAGTGTTTTTTTTAGTTAAGTGTGAATAGCTTAGTTCAAAGTAAATACATTTGCCAAGTTTGATGGAAATATATCTACAGTATTAACAAAACGGGAGTGCCGATGGAGATCTGTGGGGGTGCGTGCGTTTGAAGGGACTTGACCTGGTCTCCATCGACACTCCCATTTTGCTAACACTGTATACACAAGCAAACTACAACAAATCAACTCATTCTCCTTAACAATAACATAGGACTTTTAAATTAAAAATTTATTGAATCTTCTCCGTAACCAATAATCGTAAAAACAAACTTAAATATACTACATTATTTGTTTTATAACTATATTAAAAGTTTTAAACAGAAATTGAGGGCTTATGTTTTGAGAGCCAAAAATGAGAAACCCCCTATTTTCACGCAATTAAAGCCCCCATAACACACTGTTCCCTCGGTCCGATCATGCTGGTTCTCAAACTCATTCTAGTTTATTCCGCCCTACACCTTCAAGCAAAACATTTTTCAAAATCTAAAAAAATAACTTAAGTTGTCATTGACTTCTCTTTAATAGCAGTCTTCAAACACTCAGAACTACGTATTTGCTGGGCCATTCATTTAGTGGTTGTGACAGCAAGAGTGTTACATTTCGGAAAGGTAAAAAACATATCCTTAACATACTGGAATCTGAGGATGCTATGCACAAAGTCATATCAACTTTCAACTCAAAAGGTTCAACACAAATTGAAGCGAAAGAAGATGGAGAAACTTTATTTTTGTCCATGTAAGGGGAGAAAAGGGTAAATATTCCGTAGATGAATGGGGATACAGACTATTTCCAAATCTTTGAAAAAGGCTAGTGCAAATCTGGAATCGTTGCTA